TGGCTGCCGGCGGTGAAGTGAGGTGACCAGGGAGATGGCAGCAGAGTGGATCAGCTGAGTGAAGAGGGTCCTGACACCTGCTGCCCTCCTGTAATCCCTTAGGCTGCATCTCATATGGGAAGGAGCTTGAGGGAAAGGGTGCCATAGGAGGGGAAGGCAGAGCAGGGGTGGAAAGAGGCAAGGCAGGGGCAGAGCAGGGGCTGGGGGAAGGGTACAGACACCCCTTCCCCGCCCCAGCAATGAAGGAAATCATATGTTAGCGGCCATGCGTGGGCTGGATTGTGGCCCTGTTCAGGCCATACATGGCCTGCAGGCTGTGCGTTTGAGACCCCTAGCTGGCAAAGTGATTTAGGAAATGGGTGAAAAGCGTTCACATGGAAGCTGTGTCTGTACTGCTGCAAAGACGATGGCAACGTGACTAGGGATTGGTGGGGTTTCACATGGTCTAGATGTGGATCCACGGCCATGCGTGGGCTGGATTGTGGCCCTGTTCAGGCCATACATGGCCTGCAGGCTGTGCGTTTGAGACCCCTAGCTGGCAAAGTGATTTAGGAAATGGGTGAAAAGCGTTCACATGGAAGCTGTGTCTGTACTGCTGCAAAGACGATGGCAACGTGACTAGGGATTGGTGGGGTTTCACATGGTCTAGATGTGGATCCACGGCTTCACAGGCTGTTCTGACATCTAAGTTAGAGATGCAGAAGCCAGACCTCAATGCACCCTATCCAACCAGAAATGTGGAACCTTCATCTCCAGTGTAAACACCGACAGCTCTGATGCTAATGGAACTGAGCTCACTTTCACCAGAGCTGAGTTTAGGTTGTTGAATTGCACCTTTTTTGACAACATTGGGTAGCTTCACCGAAGTGAAGCCTCAAAAATTTGGGTAGAAACTCATACATGTTCCTCTCCATGGAAATCTTTAGTAAAAGACAAAAGATTGACACAGTCTGAAGAGAAACCTTCTTTGGCTGAGGGTTGGTTAGCAGCATGACCCCAACTCCAGTTCAGTCTGGCTATGTCTACACTGATATTTTTTTCCGGAAAAAGATACGCAAATTGCGAACCACAATTTGCGACTCTTTTTCCGCTTGTTTTTTTCGGAAAAGGCTTTTCCAACAACTGACCTGTCTACATGGGGCCAAATGTGGGAAAAACCTCCTTTTTCAGAACATCCCTGTATTCCTCATAAAATGAGGAATACAGGGATGCTGAAAGAACGCGCCTGCTTTTTCAGAAACTGTTCCGAAAAAGCGGACGTGTTCCCCACACATGGCAGAGTTTTTCTGGGATCCCTCCCATAACCCAGAAAAACTCTGCAGTCTAGACATCACCTCTGAAAGCAGACCATTGCAACAGGGGAGGCTTACCAGACCCCACTCTGCAGATGCTGTTGTAGAATGGCTGCTGCCTCTCTCTCAGTTCTCCCAAGAACCAGCGATTTCTAAATCCTCTAACACTCCATTAGCAAACTAAAGGTACATGTCTATGAAGTGAAGTGACAGAGCCAGGAGCAAGCAAACCTTTTTGATGGGGGAATTTCACTAGCCACATCCAAGGAGGCTCTGAGCAAATGGCAGCATTTCTGAAGAGAGCCAAGTCCCCTGGGAGGGTAAGAGTATCAGAGAACAGGTCCAGTCATGCTGCAGCCAACAATGCTCCAGCAAAGCTTGAAACCAGGGAGTTTGCATGAAAGCATCCCAGCAGGTTTGGGGCCTTGGCGTCCATGAGCTAGTAACATGCCTTTAAAAATTAAAAACAGATGCCAAGGGATGGGCAAATTGTGTCCGTTTTTTTTCCTCCCACCCTTTCGCAGGCAGATTGATCTGAGGGAGCGGGATGGGGCTGACAAGTCCTGGTTCATGAGAGGTCCACATGGGGTAGAACCCAGGGCACCAAAAGCTAAGCAAGAGCAGGTGCCAGTCTACGTGTGTGTTGATTCTGGGTTTTGTTTCCTCAGGGGGAGACACAATAGGGAGTATATATTCAGACCGGCCCTGGGGCATGTAAAGTGCCAGGTCACGCAGGACTGCCCCACTCAGCTCAAGACTCTGTATTTGGAAACTAGCCCCACGGTTGCCTTTGCTTGAGGGCAAAACCTGCTCTCCTTGCCCATTGCTTGCTGCCCACTGGCTGGAAATCAGCGACTGATTAGCCCACACACTGTCAAGCTTGTGCGCAGATGCTTTAGGGCGGGGGTTGGCAACCTATGGCACATGTGCCTCCGCACCGGATCTGGCGTGCGGGGAACACTAGCCCCCCCTTTTTCCCCCCAACTCTGTGCATTGTCATTTCTCTTCCCCTGGCTACGACAGGCTCACTCTAGGATAGCACAGCAGCAATGGCTTCCTTAACTCCCACCATCCCCCACCCTAAGCACTTTCCTGGCAGGCAGCGGGGGCAGGGTGGCTTCCAGTGGGGGGCGGTTTCCGGAGCTTTTTTCGAGTCCCCATCCCCCCCTGCCACTAGCCCACCACCACACGTTGCGGTCACGGTATCCCCTGCCTCCTCCTCCAGGCACATCGATCCATAAATAGAAGTGAATAAGTTAAATCTTGCCATGCCATTTCTGAAAGGTTGCCAACTGCTGCATTAGGGGATCAATGCCTCCCCAGGAGACTATAAAGAAGCTAATGCAGCTTGGAGCCTGCATTAACATCCTTGCTCACAGCTGCAGTTCCAAGGTGTCTTGGGTTGTGCTGTCCAACCATTTCTGAACTAGCCACACTCAACCAGCCAAATAGCCAAATGTAGGTTGTGGCTAGTGTGTTGGACACCATGGGACTTGAGACTCAAACATGTATTAAAAGCAATGGGTGAATTTCACCATGTAGATCAGCAGATCATTCAGTTGTGATGTCCACAGGCATTTGAGTAATGAGCAAGCCATGAAGGAGGGAATAAAATTCCTCATTACCTCTTGTAAGAGGTATTGCAAGCGCAAAAGACATTCTGACAAGTTAAACCAGCCCATTAGTGCCTGCTGAGGTATTTTTAAGATCTTTCTTTTTATCTGCTTTCTTATTCTTTGTATTCTAAGACGTCATCTTCAAAAGCACGTAGCACATCTCAAGAGGGAAAAACCCACCATGAGGCAGGCTTACCTCTAGGCTGTGCATTGCTGTTACCTGAGCAAAAGGCTTTCATCTCTTGTTGCGATTTATGTCCAGAGCACACAAACCAAAAGGAAATTGCTGTCTTTTATTTGATACAAAAGTCACCTTTCTCTGCCGAGTACTGTAGCCTTAGAAGAGGCCAATGGCTCTTAAGAATTTTTTGTTCTCCTCTTTTTCTGTCCCATTCTTGCCTCTCCCCAGTATCCCCTTATGATGTTACCACATACAGTGTGCTAGGCACTGTAATAAACCTTGTGAGAAACAGCTCTGACCCCAAAGAGCTCACAGTCTGCTAAACAAGGCAGACAAAGGACAAGAAACTTGCCCAAAGTCAAATAGCAGCATAACCAGAAATAGAACCCCAGTGTCCTGACTCCAGCACCACCAGAGCTATCCTAGCCACAGGATGAAAATCAGGACGGGCCCCACGGTGGCTGCTCCAACTGTTTTAAAGACGGGAAGGACCCAAGGAATTATGGGGGCCCAGTGTGAGGGTGACAGCAAGGTTTGCCCCTCCCTCCGTGCTCACCACATGAGCGGCAGGAGACACAGAGCAGCACAATTGCCTGCTCCACCCTGCTCCCCTCCCAGCCCACTATAATCAGCTTCTCCACAGCCCCATGCCTGGGGCACGGAAGGGCTTTCCCTTGGCCCCCGTCATGTAGTTCAGTGTATTTTTAGATCCAAAGAAAATCAGAACACACCAGAGAGAGAAACTTAACCACTTCCTTATTTTATTTCAAGCAATAAGTAGTTAACACAATCCCTTCTATATTGCAAGTGCTATAAGCATTATTAGAGTACAGTTCAATGCAATAACTATGAATACAGCACAAGATATAACACACTCTTCTGCCATAATTCTTATTGTGCACCAATTATTACACTATTAAACTTAATTCATTTACAATTCACCCATTGCCCCCTCCAGTGCTCTAGACTAGGGATGTTAAATATCAATTCATTGAATAGTAGATTCATCTCATGAATTCTTATTGGTTAATTGACTATTCCATAGTCCATAGGGGCGGGGCCCACAGCCAGTGTGCTCTGTATCAGAGGTTGCAGTGTGGGGTGCCAGGCAGGAGCTGGTCCACGAGGGGAGCTGATTTAAAAACCAGCTCCCCTTGCAGACCGGCTACCTGTTGAAAGTGATGTTTCTGAGCTCACAGACCTGGCACAAGCCAGAACTAAGCCAGGCTGCCTACCTGCCCGGCTCCTAATACATTTTAAATGCAGAGCTGCAGCCACATCTTGAATACTGCATACAGATGTGGTCTCCTCATCTCAACAATACTCTCTCCCTTATTCAAAGGAGATACAGAAGATTCCACACTCATTTATTCTGTGAATTGTGACTATTTGCCCTTCTCTAAACCCAGTCAGGAAAGCATCAAATGACAACATGCACAAGCTAGCCAGCAGGGAAAGGCTACAATTCATCAGCGACATGGTCTCAAGTTGATCTCTTCTTGCTACGCACAGGTGACTGGCATCTGTCACCTGCTCCCTAAAGCTCTGCAGTCAAATCCAGCCCCAGCTCCAGTCCTAAGCCAGCCCTCCCTCAAGCAGGGGGATAAATCAGTGCCTCCACTTGGCTTTATTTTAAACTTACTGTCTACAAAGTATCTTGGTTTTAATATATTCTGCAGACTCACTCTGTGAAACAGCACTCCACGTCTGGACTGAGCCATCTTACTGTCAGCGAAACAGATTCACCCTGACATCCGCTAGCCTGTTGGGAAGCGGCGGCTCTTCTGCAGAAAGAGAGACAGCTAAAAGCTTCTGCTCTGGTGGCTTTGAAATGTGATTCCTGTCCTCTCCACTTCAACTAGACACCCTGCCATGAATAATCTTGTCGTGCGTGTCTCCATGTCGCTCTCTTAGGAGCCCACATGGGTTGAGAAGTGGCTGCTAGTGCTGAAGATTGCTTGGCACTTATGCAGTTGTGTGTCACAAGAGCTGTCTGCAACACATGCCCACCTGAGATTGAGAGGTTCCCCCTCATACTCTGGAACATTACCCTGTCATTGGCCCTTCAATGCCAGAGAGCACTGGCTTACCTATCTTTTTGAGAGTTGAAACCCTTCTGCCAGGTAGCACCAGCAGTAGCCAGGGCCGGGTTCTGTATCTAAGCGGTTCTTCTCTGTCCAGCCAACACAGAACTGGCTCAAGTCCCCACCCAGTAAGCTGGGAAATTCAACCACCGCTGGCACTTCTGAGAGGCAATGCTTCCGCACTCGCAAGCATGGAGTCTGAGCGTAGAAAAGAAACATTTAATAAAAGGGAGGGAAGTAACATGGCTGTAATTTTGGAAAACACTGCAGAGTTCATGAACAAAACTCATGAGTAATGGCCAGGTAGGCTGGTCAATGTCCTTTTCCTCTCCAGTTCTGAAGTCCAGCAATGTAAATGTCTCCTTCACATTTCCCAACCCTTCTCTGCACCCCACTCACAGTCGCTGCCCTTGGTCAGGGCAGACCCAGGGTTCAGAGGTGCAGCTGCAGAATTCATCTCCCTTCCTGCTGCTCCTCACATCTTTCAGCCACTGACCTGTTGGCTCTTAATCAGCATCTATTGCCATCCAGTGACTTCTGCCCATCAGTCTCAAATGATTTCAGTGCCCAGTGATTTCAATTCTTTGCAGGCAGGGCAGAAAAACACAGTTAGCCCAAGAAAGCAGCACCTAATTATGCCTATTTAGTTTTGTTCTTTTAGGAAGGTGGGGCAAAGGAAGACATATTAGCTTCCACACCAGAATAACCTTCCCTCACCCCTTCCTTTCACAGAGCTCTGAAAGTTGAGCCCCTGCAGTTGCGAGATTCTTTCTGCTAACTGAGCCCTTTCATTGGGA